TTTTTTTTTTACTTTGGACCATTTCTCGATTTATGCGTCTCATCCTTGCGCAGGGGCCATGCTAATCTTCTCTGTATCGTTCCAATTTTAACGGATGTCCCGAAGGACATGAGTTATGATGATTTACAATTGATAAATATTAAATTTCATCAATTGAGAATTTGAGATATAGCTGCTTATATTCCTACCACCTCCCCGGTTCTGTTACTCAATTGAAAAATGAAATTTGACAGCTATGAAACAAGTGTGAGGTAGTCTTAAGTACCTACAGAGATTTAAAGTTTAAAGTTTAAACTATTAATTTAAGGGATAATTTGCAAAATACCCCCATAAGTTGAGATATGTGCCAAAATGCCCTGGAAAGATGTGGGTAGAGCAGAAGGCCCCTCTGACAAAAAGAAAAAATTGTGGAATATCCCTCGCGTTGGTTGGACTCTGTGATATACCCCTACCGGGTACCATCCAACTTTGCAAAATACCCAGAACTTGGCAACTTTCCTAAGGCCCAATTGCAAAAGGCCATGCCCAAACGGCGAGGTCCAGATTGCAAATTTGCACACCTGTCTGACAGGGGCATAACACAAAGAGTTTGGCCCAAAAGGGCATTCCGCTCTACCCACATCTTTCAGGGGCATTTTGGCATATATCTCAACTTATGGGGGTATTTCGCAAATTATCCCTTAATTTAATCATTGTCAATTCGGCAATTTGGCATTTGCACAATATTGCAGTAGTTTGTCTTGTTTAAGTAGCTGCTACCAGGTTCTGTAAACCACAAAAACAAAAAAAACAGAAAAAAAAGAAGGGTTCTGTAGCTCAGCTGAAGTAGCTGTTGTTCTCTGAATTCAGCTCAGATGTTGACACTGTTTTCTCGCAGGAGTCCTTGTCTTCGTTTTTGCCGACACTTATTTTGTGAGATTGGACAATTATTCCTTTGGGTGAATCCTTGCAGCCAGTGGTCCATTGACTAGATCATTACAGGTGGCTTTGATTGATAGCCAGCCTGTTGACCGGATGGAGCTACCTCATTCGACCTCTTCCACACCCCCTGAAGTTCGAGTGAGCGCCATCACGCCAGCAGCTGCAAACCTTTTCAAAGGTCAGATAATCCATTTCTGACCCCTCCTCTCTCTCTCTCTCTCTCTCTCTCTCTCTCTCTCTCTCTCTCTCTCTCTCTCTC